CCTCCCCGCCCGGGGGGCTCCAAGCTGCGCTGCCGCGTCCCTTCTCAGCGCGGTCGGGGCCCGGGGCAGTCCCTGCGGCGCATCATGACCCCACTCACCCGACCCCCGAGGCCAACGACGGGGTGGCACGGGGAGCGGCGGCGGCGGCGCTGCCGCCTGGAGACTCTGCGCGCCAGCCCAGGAACACGAGGACGGAGAATTCCAGGCTACACCCAGTCCCCTCCCCTCCCAGCGCTCCCCTCCCCCGGCCCGGCCCGCCGCGCGCTCGCTCTCCCCTCCCTTGCCCTCCTCTGGGGAGACCCAGAGATAAATAAAGAAATGGCCCGGATCTTCCAAACAAAAAGTAAAGAGTTCTCCCGTGGGGGTTGGGGGCGTCGGGCGGACCCGCTTAGAGTTGAGTCTCCCCAGAGGCGGAAAGGAGCAGGCTGAAGACTGCGTGCGCCCGGGCTCTCGCCAGGCTCAGGTGGTGGCGCGCACTGGCTGGTGCCGAGAGGGGGTGGGGAGCCAAAACGCTCGAGGGTGGAAATCACGCCTCCTCCCGAGTAAGAGCCATTTAAGATAGCCCCAACACTGCAGCTTCGGCGGGGACCACGGCTCCGGGTGTGCGTTTGGAACACGTTCACCCAAAATGTGTCCGTGGAGAATTTTTCTCGCGCGCCCTAATTTAGGATCGCTTCGGAGTGCACTGAGGCTGGGCAGTTTTGCTGTTTGCCCTTAGTGTCCCCACCCAAGCCCCCAGTAATAAAGTCTGCTAGTGACAGTCACTCGGCAGAACTGTCTGTAGCCAGGGCTCCTAGGCACCGGGCTCTCCGCCCTGCCTTCTCCTCCTCTCTGTCGTCACTGGCAAGTCTGGGGGACCTAGTGCGGCGGGGCTGGCGCGGGCGCCCCTGCGGGTGTAGAGTGTTTGAGAAAGGCTGGCCAGGGAGCCAGTAGTTAACCCCCTTCTCTCCCTTACCCTCGCCATTCCTCCTCCACACGCAAAGGTGTGAGTGGGGGAAACCTTATCTCAGACCTGGAAAGATACAGGTTTCCAAGCGTGTCGAGCCGCAGGGGGCGCGGGGGAGCCCGGGGGTCGCCGACCGCTTGACAAAGTTGGGCGTGTGCGAGCCAGCTTGAGCTAGCCAGCAGCTACTGTGGTTCCCCTCGCACTTCCCCTCGGGAGAATTCCCTGAGAAGGCGGGCGCCGGCTTCAGCCCGGGACAGACCTGCGGCGGCGGCGGGAACGGCCAGGCACAGGTACCATTTAGCGCGTTTCTTTACGCGCTCCAAATCCCCGGGTTCATCCACTGCGACGCTGATCGAGCCAGCTCTTGGAGTGTAGGTCACTGAGGCGCCCTGTCCGGCCAAGGGAGAGGGGTGGGGACCAGGGCGTGAGGAAGGGGTCCTGAGGTCTGCACTCCAAGCGTTTGGCCTTACCCCACGCCTCTGATCGCTTCTTCTTGGCTTCCCAGTGCCAAGAGTCGAGGGGGTGGTGGTGGCGGCCAGAGGTGCGGTCCCTGGAGTGTGGCCCGCACTATTGAGCATGGACATGCATATTAATCAAAGCTGAAGGAAGACGGAATAGGGACGGGAAGAAGAGGGAGCGAGGGGGGAGGAGGGGGGGAAGGAGAAGGAGGAGGAGGAGGAGGAGGAGGAGGAACTGAGGCATTTCCCTAACGTTGCCATCTCAGACTCCCCAGTGTCAAGCGGCCCTCCACTTCTCAAACTGAACTTGGGAACTTGTACGTTTGAAACAGGAAGTCACAGGCTGGGAATTCCTCCTTTTTTGGTGCTCCCCCCCACACACACTCCGACAGCAACACCTGCAACTGCTGGGCTGTGCACCCCAGGGGCACACTCGTCCTGCTCGTTTTGCCCTCCCTAGGTCCTTTTACCCATCTCTTGTCCGCTTTCTCTGCTCACCCTTGCTCTTTTCCACCCAGCTTTCTCTTTCAGAGGGCTCCCCGGGACGCCTAAGTTCCGCAGCTTCCAGCCGACACCCTGGCCCCGCCCTGCTCCCTAATGCCACCCTCCCGAGGGACACTTCCTCAGGAGAGAAAGGGGCTAGAAATTCCCCTGCCACACTCCACCGGTGCCCTTCCTCCAGCATTTTAATTTCAGCTTGCTGAAACACCGCTGCTCTGCAGCGCTTTGCTGATTCACGATGATCGCGGAGGGAAAAGCCTCATTGACTTGTGCCCCTGCAAGCAGCGAGGCGAGCAAGAGTAGCTGCTAGGGCAAACGCTTTGGGAAACCACCCACCATTGAGCAGTGGAGGTGCTAAATGGCAGAGTGGATGCCCTGCGTGGCTTTCAGCACGGGCAGAGGAAAAGATGGGGGGGGGCAGTGGGAAATACCGCCGTCCAGCTCCGTGAACCAGCCGCATCTAGTGGGTGGGCTCTTCTCAGGAGGCCTAAAATTGGGCTTGTCGCAGCGAAAGGGACAGGGATGCTTCATGTGCCCTGGTGCCCGGGCAGGGACAAAAGTAAGAGAAGGGAAAGGGAAACCAGCCGGCAAGTCTCTTTGGGAACCTTGAATATTTTGACAAAGCGCTTTCCATTCGAAGTCTTTGTACAGTACTTCCAAGTGATTGGCCCCCAACCTTGATTTTCTTCTTCAGAATTTCTGGCCTTTTAATGTCAGCCCTTAAGCAGGGTGAAGAGCAGGCATGTCCTCTCTCAGTACCCTAGGCTGAATCTTAGAGCCTGAGACACTCTGCATTGCTCAGCTAGCCAGGGTGGGTGTGTTGTTCTCCCACACAGAAAGGGCTTTTCCTTTGAGACCAAGACATGGCTAGTCCTTCCAACTATTTCTCTCTGGGGGAGGGGCTTCCACCTTGCTTGTTTTGATTCTGAGACAGAACTGCCTGAGAGTGGATCTTTAACCACCTTGTGTTGTGACTAATGCAGTTAATGTGTGTGTGTGGGGAGGAGAGAGCCCGCCAGTCTCCCTATTTTTTTTTTTTTTTTTTACTTTGACATTCATGGGAGCGTTGCTACTGCAAAAGACTTGGATTTGCTTTTGGGACCATGACCGTGGGAACAGATTCCACCAATCCATTCATTAATTACCCTTTTGGATTAAAATTAATGCATATTAATTAGTCATTTAGAATATAGCAAGAAAAAGAAGGAAACAAAACACCCTTATCTCTGTACTCCCACCAGTTTTTAAAAGTAATCTCTATTAGTAAGTACTTGTACACATAGATAATATGATATGGAGATTAAGGCTTTTGCTTTTACAGGCACTGAGCTGAGTCCTTGCTCCACTATTTATTAACCGCCATATACTGTATTTGGTGAGTAACTTCACCTGTTTGTGCCACAGTTTTCTTTTCTGGAAAATGGGAATAATAATAGTATCTATCCCATAGAGTTGCTGTGATTGTATTATAAGATGTAAAACACTTAAACTAGCACCTAGAATATAAAAAACCCTAATAAATTATAGTCACTGTAATTTTGGTCTTCTATATGTATGAAAAGAAAATCAGTCCCTGACATTAAAGAGCTGGCTTGGTATTATCAGCTGGGCCTTAGGGTTGCTAGGAGCTGTTCTAGCACCCACAACTAAGATTTGGTGTTCTCTGGTTGAACACAAAACATTTCCTAAAACACTGATGTCGGATAAGGGTGTTCTGTTACTGTGAGGGATTAAGACAAAATAAAGACCACTCTGTAATCATGTCTGCACACAGACCAAACATGAACCTTGTCCAAACTGCAAAAATGACTAACCAGGTTCTTATGCTGGTTAATATAGGTGACTATTGTGGCCTTTTATTTTTTTATTTTAAAAATAAAAGGAGGAAAACATTAACAGACAGGCCACCTTTTACAAAATAGCAAAAGAACAGTACAGACAATACGGAGTTACAAACAAAGTGGTAGGAAATTAACAATGCTTGTTGTATTACATATTGATATCTTCAAAGTGGTTTCTCATGAAAAC